TCTGATACACTTTTCTCTGTATGTCGCATGCCATTTCTGTAATAATGGTTCCATTTCTTTCTTATGTTTCCTTTTGTTTCTTTGTTTCGATCTCATTTTTAAATCCTTTTTTTGTAAAAATCGAACTATAACATGATGTTTTATTACCACGTTTGGATCAATGTTTAATTGTATATTTCTAGCTTTACTCCAAAGCCAGGAAAAGTTAACAATATGACCTTTCGATCTGGCTTGTGAAAAATTCTTTGTAAAGAATTTCGTATAGTTCAAGATATTTTGTGAAACGTCTTCCCTTCAGAAACAATTTGCGATAGGATGATTCGGCATCTTTAATATTAGTTTCTTTTTTTTTAAGCCATCGCGAAATCTGACTTTGCGTTACACCAAACGACTCTGCTATAGTATCTTGATTTGCCTCATAACCATAGGCGTTAAATGCCTCTGCTTTAAAGGCAGAAGTATATTGGTGGCGTTTCTTACCAACTAATTTGCTAGCCTCTTTACTTTTTTTTATGGCACTAACAACTTTGTTGACAATGTTATCAAGTACATCTTTAACTGCTAGAGTGACAAGTTCTTTGTTACTTTGAAGAACTTGTGATTGTGAATGTTTACAATCTTGTTTGCTAATTCCGTGCATAACTTTAACATGAAAAGCTAGTCCTTGTTGGCTTTTGAATAACTTTTTGCAATGTTCGCATTCAACACTAGTTTCGACAGCTTCTAATGGCAATCGGATTGCACTCATTTCTCCTCTGTGTATGACATTTTTTGTGAAACCAAACGCTGCCAATGTAGGCTGCTTTCTCTTTATCTTCTTTGACATTTTTATTACTTTTTTTAACAGTATCTGAAAATGAGACTTAGAAATAAAATAAACATTTTGAATATGGTATTAAATAAACTACACATTAAGAGCGAGAAAGAAAAAAGAGAGAGAAAAAAAAAGAGAGAGAGAAAGAAAAAAAAGAGAGAGAAGGAAAAAAAAGAGAGAGAAAGAAAAAAAAGAGAGAGAAAGAAAAAAAAAGAGAGAGAAAGAAAAAAAGAGAGAGAGCGAAATAAAACACTGCAGAGCGACTCTTAAACTTTATGTTTTTTTGGTCAAGTATTGAGGTTTAGATTTTGCATTACAATGACTTCTTTACTTCATAAAGTCGTTGCACTGCAAAACATAAACTTCGATTTTTGTTGTTTTTGTAGGCAGCGCCGTACTATCGCAAGTGCAACAAGTGCAAACGCACTGGGCCCCCTATTAAATAAATTAGAAAAACTTCTCCAATACCATAAATTACTACGAATTGAAAGAAAAAAATTTTTTTTTTTAGTTTCTGCACAGGGCCCCTAAAAGTTACAGCACGGCGCTGTTTGTAGGCTTAAATTTAGAAATATATATATTTAAAAATTTTAATTAAATAAAATTTAAATCTTTTAAATGGTTTATCGAGGCTCAGGAATATGCTTACATATGCTTATTTTTTTTCCAAATCTGAGCCTCCATATGCTTATAAACGTTATGCTTATTAAAAAAAAAACATGTATTCTTTGATTTACTGCTAATGTTTTACTGCTAAAAAAATTTACCATCCCCGTTATCTTATATATTATTGCCGAACTTAATAGTGTTAGTGCTCATTCAAGCGTGTTTGACACGGAATCCTTGTCAGCCATTGCAACCAAAATAGTGACAAGAGTCGCAGCGTGAGAAAACGTGAACGAACGTGTATCCAAATATCTAACGTACACAAACTTCATATTAATTAATGTTAAAACATACTTAAGCATTTAGCAAGTTCTACAGTTTGATTTTCACTTAAAAATTACATTGCGTCAAGCTCTCCTTAATTTTGATCTATAACATTTTTTTCCGTTAAAAAAAACCATTACATAGTTTTAAAAATTTTCGTTTTACAACGTGCCAGCGTGAGAAAAAACTTTCTAGGACAATCCTGCTACTCCAGAAGGTGCTGTTGTGGAGGCAAAAAAAAAAAAAAAAACAGCCCGTAGCTAGAAAAAAACTTAAAACTTTCTTTTGACAATTAAAAGTTTTTTTTTCTACATTTGTTTTTTTACTTTAAATAAATGCAGCAGCCGTTTTTCAAAACGCTTTAATAAGCTTATTACGTATTTCGAGAAAATCGCAATAAAGAAAAAAGTATTACGAGAAACTCTTTGTAAAACGTTTTTTGAAACGAATAGTTTAATTAAAAAGATGTCTCTCAAGGAGGTACTGTCAAACTTAGTCGAGCAAGTGGAGGAAAATCATTAAAAGTTCTGCCAGGACCTTCAGCGACGTACAAGCAGCAACTATTTACTGCTGAAACATTGGTCCATGTTCAAAACAGGACAAATCTTTCCAACGTTGGTGTGAAAAGGCTTGCAGCAGTTCTTAATAACTCAATGAAAAAAAGAGCTAAAGAGGCAAACGTGAAGCAAAAACTTGACAACCTCTGAAAAAAATTAGCAGATTTTTTCATGATGTCAAATGTTGTTATACTGGACCAAGAAATGAAAAACCAAGTTCGAAAAGTTGTTCACTGCAAAAACTTAATAAAAGTTGTTCACTGCAAAAACTTAAATATAAACTTAACCAATCATCTTCTCTCAGTAAAAGAACTTACATCATTTAGTTAAACTTGGAATTGATGGAGGTGGTTCATTTTTGATGAAAAAAAAAGCAGCTGGTTGTTGCTGCAGCAGAAGGTATTCTTGAAACATATAAAAATCTTAGGACAATATTAGGCCTCATACAACTTGAAGATGTGTCTTACATAGTTTCGTGTGACATGAAAGTTGCCAACATTTTATGTGGTATCCAGTCTCACTCTAGCAAACATCCATGTTGCTGGTGTGATGTCAAGTCTAACAACATTACAAATTCTGGCCAACCAAGAACATTTAGTTCCTTATCCAACAACTATGCTGGATTTCTGTCTTCAGGTGCAAAACTTCAGTTGGCTAAGAATTATGCATGTCCATCCTCCATTAATTAACCCCTACAGGCAATCTGAGCTCAGTCTTGATGTAATTCTTTCAATGGAACTTCATCTTTTTCTTAGAATCTTCAATCATATTTTCAAGCAACTCCTTGAAATATGGGATCAAGCACAAAAATAACCGAATCTATTGCACCTTCAAATTCAAGCATATTATTATGCGGGACAGTTCAATGGATATGAATGCAACAAACTGTTGAAGAATGTTGACATTCTTCAGAGTCTTGCCCAAAAGCATTGCGCATTAAAAGCAATCCCTTTTGTTGATGGCTTCAGAAAGCTTCAATCTGTTAAAAAAGCTTGTTTTGGAAAGATCTTAGAGGCAGGATTCGTTCAAAATGTTTCAGAATTTAAGCATTCTTACATAGCTCTTGCAATTTCAGTTAGTTCCAAAGCATATGCAATTATTCATCACATTAAGGAATTTGCGGAAAAAATGAAACTGGGCTCGGAGTTTTCAGTGAGTAAACCACTGAATCGATGCATGCCAAATTCAAGATCCACTAGCAAAGGTTTAAAAGATAACCTTCTCATCCTGAATATAGAGACAAACTTCTGAGTTGTGTTATTGACCTTATATAAACAGCAAACACATTTGAAATTAAATTTTTGTTGATTTAAAACTCTCAGGAGAATCTCAGAATATGTGGCAAATTGGACCCTTTTAGATTAGTTAGTCGGCAAATGTCGACCCTTTCGATAAAGGTTAGTCGTTAATCTAGGCAGTCGGCAAATGTCGTCATGACAGTCGGCAAATTTTGGAAAACGAGGACTTTTTTTTTTTTTAAGTCGGCAAAATGTAATGGCACCCCCCATTCACGTGACACCTACTCGCACCGGCCCTATGTATATATATATATATATATATATATATATATATATATATATATATATATATACATATATATATATATATATACATATATATATATATATACATATATATATATATATACATATATATATATATATACATATATATATATATACATATATATATATATATATATATACATATATATATATATATATATATATATATATATATTAAGTTGATTAAGGTGCCCCAAGAAGTCCTTACGGTCGTATCATAGAGCACCGCGGAAGAGCATTTAATGGGAAGTTCACGCCATCTTCCCAACCAATGTCACAAAACTTGCCTAGAGGTGGGGTTTGAACCACGGATCTTACGTTTCTGAGGCAAGTGCGCTACCACTGCGCCACGGCTGCTTATCAATATATATATATATATATATATATATATATATATATATATATATATATATATATATATATATATATATAT